CAACGGTATCGGAAGGCCCATCGAACGTACAATGATGAGGTCGTGAATAAATCACGGTTGCTGTGAATGGCGTTATCACGTGTGAGAACTGGTGAAAACCACATGTCTTTCGCGCCATTCGACATTCTCGTCGCTATCGCATGCAGTCATTGACGCACGAGTCGCGAGAGATTGCTGGGAATTCGCGCAAAACCGACGCTTCGTTTCTTTCGAATAACGTTATTTCGAAGGCGACCAGAGAGCGCCCATCTCGTGGCCACAATTTGCAGTGGTGATGGGTTCAGCCAGCATGTGCAAGTCCCATTCCGCCCCGCCTGTCCCGAATCTGGGGCGACCAGTCGCGCGACAAACGAAGACGCGCGATCATTCCGCACGACGCGCCGCAGCGACGCGACTCTGGCCAGTACTTCTTCGCACTCGCTTTGGGTTCCGCCGAGCGCGGCTCTCTTCAAGATGGTGACAACCGAAGATACCGTGCAACTTCGATTCGAATCTTGCATTGTCTGCTACATCGAAGCAAATTCAATCGAAGTTTTGCGCGGTGACAGGCATCAAAATTTGAACCCGCTCAGTTTGCATTTTGCCATGGTCGGGATCGCTGCGGTAACGTTACTACTGGCGACGGCAGCGATGGCGCTCGAGCCCATCGTGATCAAAGGTCAGCGGCTCTTCGGCGCCGTCTCGGGCGCGCCGTTCATTGTCGAAGGCATCAACTACTACCCGCGGCCCAACGCCGGCATCAACGACAAGAACAGCGTCGACTTTTTCACCGACGACCAGAGTGCAATGTGGCTGCCGCACGTGGCCGCGTTCGAAGCCCTTAACGTCAACGTCGTGCGCCTCTACTCGGTGGACCCGACCAAGCCCCACGACAAGTTTATGTGCGCGCTCGCTTCGGCCGGCATCTACGTCATGATTGAGCTCGCGTCGAGCTGTCCAGGCTGCGAGATCACGTCCGAAGCCTACCCCGCGTGTTACCCGCCGTCGCTCAAGACACGCGGGCAACAAATCATCGCCGCGTTCTCCAAGTACAACAATGTCCTTGTACGTCCAGACAATAATCCCTTCCTCTCGCTCAATATGTTGCTGGCTAGGGGTTTAGCGCTGGCAACGAAGTCAACCACCGCACCAAAGACATCAAGTCGAACGCGCCGTGTCAAAAGAAGTTTATTCGCGACATGCGCGCGTTCACGACCGCCTGCCGGGGCTCGATGCGGCAAGTGCCCATCGGTATTGCCGTCGCCGACGCCGAACGCTCGGCCAACGCACTGTACTACAGTTGCCGCACCGACCCGGCCGACCCACTCGAAGACATCGAATGTACCAATCTGTCTTCTTTGACCAGCTCTAACGCCTGCACTAGGGTATGGCCTCAACGTCTACTTGCAGTGCGACCCGAAAGCAACTACGGCCGTCGAAGGCCCCGGATACAATGAGCTCAAGACGCAGCTCAACTCGTACAAGATGGTGGCGCCTGTGATTTTGACGGAATTTGGCTGCTTGAACAAGGGTTTCCCGACCATCGACGGGTACGCGGCCCAGCGCACGTGGGTTCAAGTCCCGTGGATTCGCAAGGACCCCGATGTCCTGGCTGGCGGCGTCGCATTCGAGTTTTCGACCGAGAACGCCAACTCGATGGCCGACGCGCCATACCCGTTCACGTCGTACGGCGCACAGAACTACGGGCTCGGGTACTTTTCCCCAGCCACGTGCAACCACGGCAGTGTGCCCTGCGTCTACAACGAGATGCCCAACTTTAAGAGTCTGGCGCAGCAATACGCGTCGCGCGCCCGCTCGATCAACGGACTCCCTTCCAAGGATCAGTACACGGCGCTTCGGACGCAGCCGCCAGCATGTCCGACGGGCTTTGCTGCTCTCAAGACGATCACGTGGGCTCCGGACGCCGCACCGAACCTCCAGTGCCCCAACTACACGCAGGTGGCTGCGTGCCCCGGCGAGAGCCCCGGCGTCGGACATCTCGATGGAAGTTTGAACAGCACCATCACGCCGGTCCCGTCGATTCTCCCGACGACGGCCCTGGCTTCTACAGCGCCCGCACCTGCAACCCCGGTGCCGGCCGGAAGCGCTGCCACTAGCTGTGTTGTCTCTCTGTCGCTCGTGCTGCTTGTTGCGATGGCGCTCGTTGCGTAAGGAAACGATGCTTTGATATAGTACAAAATACTCTACTTCGTACGTGAGTCTCGCCGTGCACATAAGCTTAGAATGTGCGCACTCTGCACAGTGATCGATAGACCAGATATAACTCGTACAGACCAAATCGGGCCAGCGAGTCTCCAGGCGTCTCGTCCCACCCTTGGTGATCATGATCAGAATTGCAGTCCACAGAGACGGGCGAGTGTTTCTGCCTCGTCGCGGTTGCCTCGGCGGGGCGGCCTCGGGAGTTCATTGCTCATCGAACACCGCGACGTCGCGAGGTACTAGTATGCACCGCGTACGAAGGTGGTCGAAGCCGACCGATTACAAATCGAATGGGTTTTAGTCGCCAACGAGGAAAAAACGTACGTTTTTTATTGGGTTATTCGTGCGCGCTGCGTGGCTGGCTGTCTCGCGCTTTGTATGCGCTGGCGCCCAATGTGGCATGACGCAAACGACACCGCCGCGCGTTCCGGCGTCGTTCCTATGGTTGCGTCACCATCCACTTGGAGCGCGTATTTACGATGTTTTTACGGTTCTTTCGTACCCATGCGACAACCTTTCTCTTGGTCTGTGTATACTTCTTGGGTATGTCTTGCATCAAACCATTTTCATTCTATTGTTTACAAATATGGCTATATTTAAATAAAAAGGCTTTTCAAAAAGCCGAAAAATGCAGAAGAAAAACCCCGTCGGCATGTCTATGGCGATCTTGGCGCCAACTGGTTTCGTATCGAGCAACTTGGTCAGTTCGCAATTTACCACCTTCCAGAACCATGGCGCCGTACATGACCAAGGAAGACCTCTCGCTCGCGCTCAACCTCTTTTGCTCGATTTACGGCATCGGCACGCTCGGTATTCCCGGCAACTATGCGCGCGCCGGCCCCGTCTACGCCTCGCTCGCGCTCCTCTTCATGGCGTCGGCCAACATTTACGCGTCGGTCGCCATGAGCAAGACCATGCTCGCCGCCCCCTCGTGGGTTCAAAACTACGGCGATCTCGGCGAGTGGATCGGCGGCAAGTACTTTGGCCGGTACACGGTGGTCATTCCGCAGCTCCTCGCGTGTCTCCTCACGGCCTGTGCCTTTCTCGTCCTCGGCGGCGTCCTCCTCGACGCGCTCTTCCCGAACGCATTCAGTGCGACCGTGTGGATCCTTCTCATGGCCATGACGGCCGTGCCTGGCAGCCTCATCCCGACGCTGAAGGAGAGCCCGGGCATGGCGATGGCGGGCTGCCTCGCGACGCTCGCGGCCGACGGCGTCGCTCTCGCCGTGCTCATGGTCAAGATGGACACGCATTCGATCACGCCGCCGTCGCCCAGCGTTTCGTTTGAGCAAATCTCAACCGTCTTTGGCAACCTCAGCTTGGCGTACGGTGCCGGCATCATCATCCCGACGCTCCAGCGCCAGCACAGCCAACCGGAGCGCATGCAGCGCGTCATCACCGTGACGCTCTCGCTCATCACGGTGCTCTTTGCGATCATTGCGTCCTTGGGCTACTCGGTGCTCGGGTGCCAAATGCCCCGGAATCTGCTGTTTGCGATTGCGGGCCACGACCTCGGCTTCACCGCGTCGCGCGGGTCGGTCGTCGCGGCGTTCCTGGCCATGCAAGTGCACATTACGATCGCGTTCACCGTCGTGTTGCACCCTGCGTTCTTTATCCTCGAGCGCCTCGTGTGGAACAAGCGCCATCGGTCGAGCGACACGGCGGCCGACTTTATCGAAGCCGGCACGCCGTCCGAGCCCAAGATGATGGAGAACGACGTCGTCGTCGCGACGCCCAAGGATGGTGTCGAGGTCATGCCGATGACGGCGTCGCGTCAGGCGTCGTCGCTCGGTGTGCGTCTGATTCTCATCAGCGCGGTCGTCGCCGTCGCGATTGCGTTTCAGGACCACGTCATGGACCTGCAAGACTTTGTCGGCGCGTCGACCATGTCGCTGACGTGCCTCATCTTGCCGCTGATTTTTTACTTTATGAAGTTTTGGACCACCATGCCGCTGTACGAGAAGGCGTACGCGATGCTCGTGCTCGCGGTTTGCTCGGCGCTCGCTGTGTATGTCTCGATCAACGCCGGCATTTCGCTCTTGACGCCACCCGACACGACGCCGTTCCCGTTCTGCGAAGCCAAGTACGAACACATTGTCTTCACCAACACGACGCACTACGGCGCGTAAGATAGAGAGGAGTCGTCGGTGTCCATTTAGTTAGTCGTTAGGAATACAACTCGTCTATGTGTAATAACCTCTTTTTTCGAACCAACGCACACGTAATTTCGCCTTTGCGGGTGCGGGCTGGGCGACGCTAGCACGGTGATAGCCGCTAGAACTAGCAGATAGACCTTTGTGATAGTCGGAATGTAGTTAGTCCTTGGGGATTGCGTCTAGTTTGTAGTTGAGTCGACCATGCTTGACGGTGTATCTTTAAGTAGGATTCGAGGACGAGGTATGCATGTAGGATCCGGCTATGGGAAGCCCTAAATCCTGTCAGTAGACAATTTCACAAGTTGTGCGCGCTGAGATCCACCGGCCGCGAACCTTCATTGCCTTTGTTCGAGGCGGTTGCGACGTTGCCGTTGCAAGCGTTAGGAGACGAAATGGTCAGGAATAAGATTTGGGGTGATGAAATATAAGGTGGTATATGCATATGCCAACTACGAGGCCGTGTCTAGAACGCAGTGCGCGTCGTGGCGAGTGCCCGCAGCGCTGAACTCGTCGAGCAGTGGCGCCGTAGCTTGGCTTGGAGGACGCAGAGGAGCTCGGCAAACGTGACGGTGGACGAGAGGACGAGGTAAAGGACCCCGGGGCCATTGAAGACGATCACCAGCACCAGCAAGAGCAGACGTACGGCCTCCATATTGTGCTCCAATTGCAAAATGAAAGATCGCTCCATGATGACGAGCATCGCGAATTGCAAAATCCAGCGAATCACACGAGAAAAAAGTGAAAAACACAGGGTATTCCATCGTGAAATCAAGTTTAAAAATGAATCTCACATTTCACACGCCGATCCCTCGCCTTACAACCCTCGGCAGCAGGAGAATATGAGCTCTCGCAGAGTCGAAAAGTCACTCGATAAGACCGCTGGGATGCTCCATAATGACGGGAAAAGGGAGACGACGACAGGACTTGAACTGGCATGGCGAAGGGATCATTCGGGATCTGCAATAGCCACCCAGTGCGAAGGTACGAGCAGCCCGTAGTATCATCGCCACTGGGGGCCCTTGGCGTCGCCATGTAGCCATAGTCCTTGGATAGCATAGCTTTGATTTGGATCGTCCTGGGTGTCAAAGCGTCTCGCTACTTGCGTGGCAAGCGCGGGGCGTGGCGACCCCACGTGGCAGCGCCACAGCGTGAGAAACGTGTCAACTGTGTAAAACCTCTCAAACCACATACCAAGCATGATCGGGTTGTAGGGTTAATCGCCAACATGGAGTTCCTCGCCGAAGAGAACGAGTGTGGGCAGACGCTCCTTCGGCTCGTGAGCCGCGGCAGCGCCATCATCGCCGAGCTCTTCCGCCTCAGCAACAACATCCCAGGGTACGTCTACCTGCGCATGGCCTTGGCGAGCTCATGGCGCGTCGACCAGTATCTTTCTCGGGTCGGCCTTCGTCGAGGACCCGGAGCAGCGCAAGTACCTCGACATCCTCTTCGACTTTGCGTACCTCAAGAACCCGGAGGAGTTTGAAAACGTCGTCAACAGCAACACGGTGCGCAGCGCGACCTCGCGTTCATGGGCGAACCCTCATTTTTGGCGGCTAGGAGCTGCTCGACGTCGACGATGAGTTTATGGACAACCACGAAGACATCCTCGACCGCTTCTACCAGCTCTTTGACAGCATCTACAAGTACATCAAGGACTACCTCGACTTTTGCGAGAACCTCGAGAAGGGCTTCTTCATCCAGCACGACCTCGCCAACAACCTCCTCGACACGGACGGCGCGCAGCTCATGTGCGAGTCGCTCTATCTCTACGGCTGCATGCTCCTCCTCCTCGACCAAAAAATTCCGGGCCCCGCACGCGAGCGCATGGTACGCGCGTTTGCTTCCATGCATATGACGCCGAGCGAGCATGGTAGGTCATTGCGTTCTTCCGCAACAAGGGCGAGTCGGCGCTCGAGAACATTGACGAAGTGTGCAAGCTCTGCCGCGTCACGGGGTACCTCCCGGGCATGGCCAAGCCGCCGCAGTACCCGGAGCGCTTCTTCAAGCGGTTTGCGCCGCCGGAAGAGGTCGTGAGCATGGTCATCGGGAAGCTCCAGACCGACGACGTGTATCTGCAAGAGCCCGCGTTCCCGCACCGCGACCACCGCAGCACGCGTCTCGCAGCCCAGGCCAGCGCGCTCTACGTCGTGCTCTACTTTGCGCCCGACATTCTCATCCACGAGAGAGCCAGCATGCGCGAAATCGTCGACCGGCACTTCAACGACAACTTCATCCTGGCGACCTACATGGGCACAGTCGTCGACCTCTCGCTGGTATAGTGTCTTCTTCAACTATGACAGTAGCACGAAGCGGTGCTTGTAGGAGTGGGCGCCGTACCCGGCGGCGCGCGTTGCGCTCGCCAATACGCTCGAGATGAGCAACATTACGCAGATCGTCAAGACAAAGGCCAAGCAAAGCGTCAAGTCGATCGACCAGCTCTCGCACTACCTCACGGAAGGCGTGTTGAACGACCAGTTTGTGCTCGAGAACCTCGACCCGCTGTTGCACTGCATTCGCAGCGCGAACGTAGTGATCCGCTGGACGATCCTCCACAGCCGCATGCAAGAAGTGATTCCGATGATGAACAACAGCCGCGACCAGCGCACCGTCTTTGACAAGGGTACTCGTGGATAGTCGAGCAAGTGTACGATATGGCTCTGTAGCAACAGACCCGGACCGCCTGATCACGCTGCTGTTGCAAGCGTCGCAGCTCGAGTGGAAGCTCAAGCAGATTTTCCAGTCGCTGCTCGCGTCCAAAGAAGAGCGCTGGCAGCACTGCATGAAGGAGACGAGCGACCGCTTGGAAGAGCTCAGCGATTACTTTACGGGCGAGAAGCCGCTCACACGTGTTGAGCGCAACGAAGACCTCATGGGTTGGTTCAAGGACACAGCCGAGAAGGTACGTTCTAGTCGAATTACAAAGGAATTGACGAGTAAATATTTAGGTCAAAAGCCTCGACTACGTCGACCACGTCAAGGCCGGTCGACGCATCAAGCGGCTCATTGAAGCCCTTCTGTCGGTCGAGCAGTTTGACCAAATCGACACGTCGCTCCAAGTCAAGGCCTTCTTGGCCGAGTCGCGCCAGTACCTCACGGAAATGGTACAAGGTCTTGGGGGTAGTGCAACGGTACGACGGGTCGTAGGTGCGGACCGTCCGTGTCCGCCAGGAGGCCATGGGCATCATCGAGACGGTCTCGGATCTGAGCTACGGCTGGGAGATCATCAACGACTTTATGCCGATTTTGCATACGCGCGTCAAGCGCGATCCAAGCTGTGTCATCTTGCTGCGTGTCCGTCCTTCTCTCCTTGTATAGATAGGGTGGTCGTGCTGATGGCGAAGATGCGTTAGGCGCTCTTTTTGAAGCTGGCGTCCATCTTGGACATTCCGCTCACGCGAATTCACCAGTGCAACTCGACCGACGTCATCTCGGTCGCCGAGTACTACTCGGGCGAGCTCGTCGACTACGTCCGGCGCGTCATGGAGATCATTCCGCAGAGCGTCTTTCGCATTTTGGCGGGCATTGTCAAGCTCCAGACGGGTGTGTGCCAGCCGCGACACCACCAAACCAACTCATGTTCGCGTTTTGGTAGACCACATGAAGACGATCCCGGTCAAGATCGAAGCGCTATTGCTCAAGAACCACGCGCAGCTCAACGAGCGGTACCGCCTCGCGCGCGCGACCAACGAAGTGTCCAAGTACACGGAAGGTACAACATTTCCTCTGCGATCCAGTTGATATGGGATGGCTATGATAGGTATCTTGGCCATGAAGAAGACGCTGCTCGGTATCCTCGAAGTCGATCCGCGCCAAGTGCTCGAAGAAGGCTTGCGCAAGGAGCTCGTCTACCGCGTACGGCAACTGCGACGCAGTGATTGAACTCAATGATGCATGCAGGTCTCGCGCGCGTACCATGACATTCTGCAGTTTCCAGCGGCGCTCAACGCTTCGGAAGGCACGGCGATCTTCCAGTCGCTTGCGAGCACGTTGCAGGCGTACCGCCTCTCGTTCGAGTACATTCAAGATTATGTCGGGTACGCACTATTCGCTATGATTTTATACCCATATTTCAACTTATGATTAGGATCTATGGGCTACGCATGTGGCACGAGGAGCTGAGCCGCGTCATCAACTACAACGTCGAGGCCGAGTGCAACCGGTACCTCAAGAAGAAGATTTACGACCGTGCATCGCAGTACCAGTCGCGTGCGATCCCGATCCCGCGCTTCTCGCCGCCGCCCCAAGACACGAGCATCAATTTCATGGGCCGGTGCGACATGTCATATGTGTGTGGACATTATTGTCTTATTTGACTAGGCTCCTCCACGCGCTCTTTGTCATGACGGACCCGCACGACACGATCTTCTCGTTCCAGTGCCTCAGCTGGTTCCACGAAGACGGGACTGAAGTCGCCGGCATGAGCACGTTTGGCCTCTTGCACCAGAGCATTGGACTTCTCGGGCTCGTTGGCATTGACCGCATGCTCAGCTTCCGCATCGTACGTATCTAATTCTAAACCCGACGGTATATAGCTCCAACTAACTCGGGGATTAGGTGCACACGCTCAACAACTTGATCAAGTTTTGGGGCTCGACGGTCACGCCGTACTTGCCGCTGCTCGACCAGCTCGCGACAGGCCTCGAGCCGTACTGGCGCATGCCAGAGAACGCCACCAAGCTTTACGAAGCCGCGCTCAAGAAGGTCGAGAAGCTCCAGAGCAAGCTCCTCAAGGCGATTTTGATCATTGGCCAAGCCGCGCTTCTTCGCAAGGCGATTGCGGGCGAGCTCGCGTTTAGCTCGCGCCTCGACGCGCATTTGCTCACGTGCTCGGTCGACACGCTCGACAAAAGTCTCCTTGGGGACATTCGCCAGCACTACCGGTCGCCAACCACGACGCCGTACCCCAACCCCGCCGTGCTCGTCGAAGTCAACAAGTACCTCGAAAACATGGGCGCCAACGACCCGTTCCAGAAGATTTACATCACGATGGACGCGCCCCTCGACGGGCTCTCGAGCCTCTTCCTGCTCTTTGTGCTCGCGTATATGCCCAAGCTGCAGTACGACGCGGCGTTTGGGTCCCTCAAGCGCGTGGCGCAGAACCCGCTCGACGGGTCGCCGCTCGTGCTCGGCCTCGTCACGATCTTCAAGCAACTCCACCCGTCGTTCACCGACCAGTTTGTCGCGTACGTCGGGCAGTACATCCGGTCGCAAATCAACGACATTGCGCAGCGCCCGGGGGCGACCGGCGAGCTCCCCCCGGATGTGCTCAACGTGCTCATCTTCCTCGTGCAATTTGCGCGCGCGTCGCACCTCAAGCCGAGCATGCTCCACACGCACGTACCGGCCTACATCTTTGACGCGATGCAAATGTGAGCGAAGCTTTGTGGACGCAGGTTGCATGCCCCTTGACTATGCGTATACGCTGAAGACGATTATGATTGTTCTTTTATTTCACGTGTACAATATTGGACTACCGAGTCCGACGTGCCGAGAGAATGTTGGCGATTATTTGTGGTAATTATGGCACAATGTGGCATATACCACATTTAATGTGAAGCCAAATAACTGGAGCTATAGAGCTCGAACGCCGACGCGGCGCATCGTTTTGTACTCTAGAAAGCAGTGGCTAGCATCCTGCCAACTGTGGGCGATTTCATTTTCAAACGTGATCTGGTCGAGCGCACCTCGCGGGCTCTGCGGCCACAGCGGCCAAAGGGTGGCTCGGATACGATTGGCCAAAAGTGAAATAGATATGGCCAATCAAAACAGCGTACTAGTTCACACAAGCCACTTGCCCACACAGAGTCATGACACAGAGTGCACTCCTTGGGACTCTCTGCAACGGCGTCTGTCCCACATCCATCGCACTGCAATGAGCCGACCTCTGCGAAGCCCAAGTGCCAAGCCAGTACATACCTAGCCTTGCTAGAACGAGCTCAAAAGGCTACAAGGTGGCACATTCAGTTGAGACACCAAATTAGGACTCGACTTCGGTCGCGTGCCACGCGTCCATTCGCTGCTTTCTTCGCATCGGAGCGCAGCTGGTGATGAGCGACGAAGCTGGTGTCGGCTTTGTCAAGGCGAGAAGCAGCTTTGCTTCGCCTCGGAGCTCGGGGTAGTCCCACACAAACCCTAGCTCTTCCAGCTGCGCGCGGCGGTCGATCGTCGTGGTTCGAAACCGAATGTTGGTGATCGCTTGGCCGAGTTTGAGTCCCCACATGGGTCGCGGCCACGGCAGCGTCGGCGGAACGACAAAGTCTTGGGGCACGAGGAGGTTGCCGTGCAGCTCCTTGTAGAGCTCCATCGCACGCACTTTCATATCCCAACTCGACTCGTGGCTGTCCCAGACAAACCTAATGCGTGTCTTGTAAGAGCCGCCAACAAATGCGACCCGCGTACCCCAGCGCGTCGAGCTGGCGCCGGCGGTGTAGCGTGAGACTCCCCGCGCGGCAGCGTAGATCATGCACCGCTCGGCCAAGCTTGAGGCCCCAGCAGGGCGGCGGCCAGAGCGGCGAGGCTTCTGGCACCTTGAACTCGAACGGCACGGCAACGTGGTGGAAGAGCGACGCGAACGCTGCCAGCGCCTGCAGCTTAATCTGGAACACGAGCTCCTGACTGTCCCAGACAAAGCCGAGATCGTCGAGCGTTTGCTTCCGAGAGGGCGAGAGCGACGCGGCGCGCGATCGTAGGTTCGTGACGGCGACGCCAAGCTTGGTGCCGCGGACGTCGAGCGGCCAGACGTCCGAGGTCTCTGGCACGACAAATTCATACGGCACCGCCACATGACCATAGAGGTCCTTGTACGTGCGCAGCGCACAGAGCCGAAGGACCCAGCTGTGCTCCTTGGGGTCCCATACAAATCCAAGCAAGTCTAATTCGTCGACGACGCTGCGAGGCAGGAGCTTGGCGGCGTAGTGCTTGCGGAGCTTGGCGACGTCCAGGACGCGCCTATGCAGCGCCGGCGGCCATGGCGTCTCGGCCGGTACCACGAAGCGCGACGGCAGTGTCGTGAACTCGGACGTCGGCGCTTGCAGTTGCCGGACGATCGCTATGACGTCGACATAGGTCCGCAGGTCTTCGCCCAGAAGCGCGCGCATGATGAGTGGCACAAGTGGGTGCACAAAACCGGATTCCGCGTATCTTTTACCGGATGACCTGTGCATCTCGATATTCTCGCGGAACACCATTCGATTATAGAGGTTTAATAGCTAAATACACGCCACTCTAGCTGTGAACGCAGCAATGTGCTGGAATGCACTCGCATGGGACAAGCTGCTTGGACCGACTGAATATGCTTGGGTGCAATAGGCATTGGAAATCTGCTCACAGATACATGTACGGCTGTCGTTGCGGTCTACGAGAGACGCAATGCTCTGTAAAGTTGCGTGCGAATAGCTGGTCTAAAGTTGCGTGTGAATAGCTAGTCTAAGAATCCCATGGGCAATTCAGCTGCCAGACGGAACATCTATTACACAATCAGCAACATTGAAGAGCGATGCAGCGACTGGCAACTGCGCTGCTGCTCCTAAGTAGCAGCCTCGTCACGGTCGGCGGCAGCAACGAGACGCACGTGCGCTCGCACCGGCCCACCGCGCCGGTCCGCTCCGAGACGCCGGCGCCCACGTACCCGACGCGCCCGCCCGCCTCGAGCGACGACGCTCTCTACCGCTGCCACGAGCTGCCGCGCATCTGCAGTCCGCCACCAGACGACAAGACCGACGCCTGCAGGATGCTCTTTCCCGACTGCTTCCGCCAGCCAGCCATCGTCGTTTCGACCAACGCATCGGGCTCGCTCGATGGACGAGTTCCATGTTGCGACCGCGTGCAGCTGCTCAACGCACTCACGGCGCTACCCGAGACGCAGCTGTGCTTGACCACGTCCAACCTCTCAATCCTCTCGCTGCTGTATGGCAACCGCCTCGAGCGCGACCAAGTCCACGCCTTCAACCGAACGGCCGCTTGCCAGAGCTTTGCGGCCGCGTTCACGTCGGCGGTCGCGGCCATGGCACCGTGCTCGATCGAGGGCCGCCTTGTCCATGGCGAGCGCTACAGCGGAGCTAGCTTCGAAGACTTTGTTGAGCGGCTCCTGGGGTATGTCAACGTTGCCTATGCGCCAACGTACGACGATGCGCCGGCGCTCGCCGCCGTGCACGCGTTCCCGAGCGACGCGCTGCTCCACGTGGGCATGGACCCGCGCCTTGGCCTTGGCCCGTTCCTCGTCTTGCTGCTCGAAGGGGTCCTCGTCTGTCTCTGCGTCGCCACGCTTTTCTGGTTCGTCCGGACCGCGTGCGAGGCCAACCCGTATGCGACTGTCTTGTACGACGCGACCTTGCGCGGTACTCCATGCCTTGGCTTTGGCTCTTGTAATGGTGAGGCTCATGGCGCGTAGGAATCGCGGTCGTCGGTGTCCTTTCGTTTCTGGTCCAGCGCTGTCTGCTCTGGGAGCTCATCCCGCTGAATGGGCCTACGCACCATGGTCTCCTCGTTGTCCAAGACGTGCTCTGGCTTGTCGTGCTCGTCCACGCTGCGCAGACGGCGGTCGTGAGCTGGCGCGTGTTTGGGGCGCACCACCGTCGGTGCGCCCTCGCCGGCCGGTCGCTCAAGGATTTCGTGTCGGTCGCCACCAACGACGGGCTCGTGACCGCCGACAACCGCGTGCCACGCCGGTTCCACGAAGGCGTCGACTACTTCTTGCTCCGACACCTCTTCCTACAAGCGCATACGCTCCCCACAACATTCCAGTTTGATGTGTACCTCAACCACGTCGAGGCCGCGACGCTCGTCGAGCTTTTGCCGCTGCCGTGGTGGAGCTGGCCCGTCCTCGTCGCTGTCTACGCGAGCTTCCTCGGGATTGCAGACGGCGTTACGCATCCATCGTGGTCCTCAGCGACAGTGGACGAAATGGCTCGGCTGGCGCCGCAAGTCTGGCGGCCGGATGTCGCTGCAGCCCGCATCTACGTCTTGCTTGCCTATCTGAGCGTCGCACTCCTTCTTACCGTGGCGGTCGCCTGGTACCTCTACAAAGTCGCGTCCGGCCTCCTTCTCCAAGCGTGTGACATCATCAACGAGCTCAACATGGCCTCCAAGATCGAGTCGCTTCAGGTGCTCGCATCGCGTGGTGACGGAGGTAGCGTCACGGCCAAGGACGTGGTCGCGTCGCTGACGTCCATGGAGCATCTCTCCGAGTCGCTTTTGGAGGCGCCGGAGGTGCTGCCAAGCCGCCTCGTGCAAATGCCGTCGTGGAGTCGGTCGTCGCTGGCATTGGTCGTTCGCCTAACGTTGGTGCTGCCCGTGCTCTTCCTGGCATTGCTCTGGGACTGCCTCCTCCTCCTTGCTTCGGCGCCGTGGTGGTACCGCTGTGCGCTTGGGTCGCTTCTGCTTGTCCTCGCAGTTGTATCGACGGTGCTTTTGCCGCTGCTGGCGCTGCAGCTGGGCACCGTTGTCGGCGTCGCGTGTCCGGACCGCCACCAAGTGCTCAATGCGCTCTCCGCGTCGATTCTTCGCCTTCGCGAACACGCACTGCAACTCAAGGCAACGAGCGCCGCGACGATTGTGCTCAGCCCAACCCCCCAGTCGTGCAGCACAGCACGATGCTAGTTAGTAGATATCAAGTCGACTAAAATCGTTCACACAGTACATCAACGCTTGCAGAATGTCGACTGCGTCGTCTCTTGTGGTCCGACGAGTGGCGAATAGCAGAGTCTTTGGAGCGAGGACTGAATTTCTAGTAAAGATTGCTATGCAAAAAGATATCTATGACCTTGGGGTAGGGTCCGCGACGAAACGCTTCGTGCGCTATTCTAAGGGCGTCCATGATGACCGAGGCCGACGTCGACCTTGTCCGAGCGCTTCCGGCGACACCAAGCCGTCTCTCGCTGGACTTGACCAAGCTGGATGCTACCTCGCCTCGCAAGCTGCTCAAGAAGCTCCAGCGCCGGGCCCCTCGCAACTTGAAGGAACATTTTCGGGCGCTGGACGTCGATGGCAGCGGTACAATCGAGCCTAAGGAGCTGCATTCGATGCTGCAGCAACAAGGCTTTTCGCAGTCCGAGAGCAATTCGATTCTCAAGCTGCTGGACCCCGAGGGTCGAGGCCACGTCCGGTACCACGATTTCTTCAGCGCCGTCCACAGACCGTCGCCCGCCGTGGTGCGCAACGATATATCGCCCGACGCCGCACTCGCCCGCGTCCGGTCGCTCGTCACGACCAAGCACGAGCATTTGCAGCGCGCCTTTCGCCAGTACGACGCCAACCATGACGGTATTTTGTTCTGGACGAATTGGTGCAGACGCTCAACGAAGGTTAGGACACATTGACAAGACCGAATTCGAGAGCTGCATGGCAGCGTGGGGAGTACATCCAGCGGACGTTGCGACGCTGCAAAAGGCGTTTGATCCAACCGACGTTGGTGCCATCGACTACAAGCGCTTCTTGCACGTTGTCGACGGCGGCGATCGGGACCAGACCGAGCTCGCGAACCTGCACTTGCCCCAACACGGTCAAAACAAGGGCAGAAAGACCCGCAAGCCGGGGATCGAACCGGCACCCGATGGTTCCAAAGGGCAAAGTGGGCCCAAGACCAAGGCCCAGCTGCTGCACCACCTGCGTACGACGGCCAAGGTGGCCAACCCCAAGGATTTTTTTCGAAAGTACGACGCCGATGGCAACGGAACGCTCGAGCAGCGCGAGATTGTCTCGTGCCTCGCGTCACTCGGGTGGAACGAGCAAGATACCGAGGGGCTCCTGCGGGTATTAGACCCCCACAGTGCGGGGGCGGTCGCGTATGCTAGCTTTTTCGACAACGTCACGGCCATCGACGCGCCGGTCGTCACGACAAAGTCTGTCGACGCGTCGTTCCATACGGTCGTCGAGATGCTCGCTGCCAAGGCCAAGCACATTCACCACCTCTTTCGGCGGTTTGACGTCGACGGCGACGGTGCCCCGTCGCATGATGACGTCATCTTCTGACGTGGCATCACCGTAGGCACGATCGACTTGACAGAATTTCACACGTGCTTGAGCCACCTCGGCGTGCTGCCCGTGGACGCGGCCAACGTCGTCGCCAAGTTTGATCCGAACCAGACGGGCATCATCGACTTTGGTCAGTTCCGCGCCGCGGTGCTTCACCATGACACGGCGTCCGAGTGGGCGCCGCTGCACTTGGTGGCGGAAAAGACGGTCGGCGTCAAGCAATTTCCCGCCAAACACAATCATAAAAGCCCCGTGTTTACCTCGGAAGCGGTCCCGTCGGTGCCGGCGACACTGCATGCGCATTACCTCGAGCGACTGCGACTCAAACACAGTGACTTGCGCGTGGCGTTTCGCAACTATGACAAGAAGAAGCTCGGTCGCCTCGATCGCCGCGCCTTTGAAGCGTGCCTCAAGAGTGTTGGGGGGCGACCAGAAGACATTGCCGCCGTCTGGGCGCATCTCGCGGGCGACGATGACGCGGTGCCGTTCCATAGCTTTGCACAGAGCCAAACCGTGGCGCCTCCGTCGCCAACCAAACTCCAGCACAAGCAAGGCCTTCGTGCTCACGTCATGGATTCTCACAAAATAGTTGGCTAGTTTTTTTCCACTTCAACTCCCACCAACATCGCCGCGGGCCAACGAACGGCACGCCGTTCAAACCCAGGTCGTTGCGAGGGGTAGGGTCCACAGCTCACGCGATCGTAGGCTCTGGATACGCTCCAGAAGAAGACAAAGGTGTCGTCCAAAGCGCTGCGAGCCCTCTACCGCGCGTGCGACCCGGACGCCGTTGGTGTGTTTGCCAAGGTACGGATACCTCCGGGAAATTCCGCTTTGAAATGACATGCGACCAGGAACGCTTGCGACACGAGATGCAAGCACAACTAAAGCTCTCTCCCGACCAAGTCGACACGCTCTTGCGGCATATGCCGTCGCAGATGGAGGAACGTGATCTCGCCGCGTGCCTCTATAAGTCGTCACCCTATGTACCATTGTCGGGGTCGAAGTGCATCCCACCATGGAAGTAGGTGGGTGCCGCTCGGCTGCACTTCAAAGACGCCCAGCGTCTCTTGCGCCTCGAAGAGACGCACCCCAAGCAGCTTCGAGCGCTCTTCCGCACGATGGACGAAGACAAGACCAACCAAGTCGTCCACACGTGTCTCGTAATCACCGCCTCAGTACTTATTCCGAGTTGGGACATGAAACACTAGACCTCGTCGGCGCTCAGTGGCGCGCTCAAGAACGCGTTTGGCGTCGAGATCCCGCCCGAGCGCCTCGCCGCGTTGATACCACCTGTCGCCACCTACAGCCAAGTGCTGCAAGCCGCCCACGCCGCCGTCACAGCCGAGCCGCACGAGACTTCGTCGCCGATCGATTTTCATGGTCGGCTCTTGGGCTGCCGCGCGCTCCTCTGTCCGCGCGCAACGAGCGACCCTTCTTTCTTGGGCCACGACATGCGCCCGCGGGACAACGCGGCTGCGATGCGGCGGTCGTTCCCAGGACCCTCGGACGCCGCTGGACTCGACTCGGCAGGCTTTCACGCCCGCTGCAGTGCTTTGCACATCGACACAACCGCGCAAGATACACCAATGGACCGTGACGTGGCGCCGCGATGGAAGCTCAAGGCCGTCGACGGCGCCCACGAAAAGGTCGGTCTCGGAGGCGGCCGAAAGCGCATGGCCGCGCGCAACATAGAGCACGATCACAAAATGCGCTCGCTACTGGCGCACGACGCGTCGTCATGACACGTCATTAGGTCATAGATTAGACGTTGGTGACACTCGTCGTATCCTCGTCTTCGTCTTCGTCATCGTCGTCGTCTATCGTAACATGGTTGTCGGCCGTCGAGGCGGGGGAGACCGCGGCGGGACTCAACGCATCGCTTATGACGTCCGGCGTGTTGGCTGGCTCGGGCGTCATCTTCTCGGTCTCGGAATCTTGGCTCTCAGGGGACTCCATGGCGTTAGGTAAAGCGTCTATCTGCGACTCTTCTTGCTGATCCTCAGCAACTGCCGTCGATGCCATCTCGTCGTCGTCGTCGTCGCCGGTCGTGGCGGCCACCTTGTCATCGTCGCCGTCGTCAGTCGTGGCCGCCGCCTTTTCGGCGATGTCAGTCTCGGAGCTGGCTTCCTCCACCGACGAGATTGAGAGCTGCTCCAGTTCGGTGCTGGGTGTCTTGGTCGCATTGATCTTGATCTGCTCATACTGACGGGCAAGGTCGTCCAGGTTGGTTCGCATTGACGTCCGCGTCGCCTCGACCGTCGCCGCGTCGTACGTATCACTGCGGATCAGGTTGGAGAGCTTGGCCTCCACCATGCTGTCGTCTACGCCAAAGTCGGTGCGTTGACCGCGCAGACTGTCGTATGCGTCGAGGAGCATGTGCGCGCTCAGTAGCATGTGCACGCCACAGTCGAACGAGTTGATTTGCTGGGGCGACTTGACAGCGAAACGGGCAAACGCAGACGGGTCCCACCCATCCTCCGTGCCGTGCTTCTTCTTGAAGACGGCGCCGAGGTACGCAAGGAGCGGCGACCACACCTCGCCTCGTCGGTGCGCGCCGCTCATCGAGTCGAGCAGCGTGAGCACGGGCGGGAGGCGTCGGTCGGCTTTCGGCAGTGCAGCCATACCCAGGTTAAAGATGACCACGAGGCTCCAGTGGTTGCTACACAGTACAAGCTGAGTTGTCGACAAGAGAAAATACACTGTTTGTACCGAATGTTGATGGGCACAACAACCACTTCCTTGGAAAAGAGGTCGTCATAGCTGTACCACGACGCGACCGACCCGCCGGTCGTCAGCGCGGGAAAAAAAAGCGCGCCAAAACAGAGACAGTACGGTTTGGTCGACGTGCACGGACCCGCTTGTAGCCACCTAATCTCAGAGACAATAAGCAGGTCGGACAATGGATACCAAGGGTGTACTTGAAGTAAAAGTCGATCAGGTTGTCGTTCAGGTACACCTCGGGCTCAAGGCGATCCAGGTCTTCTTCGGTGATGGAAATCACATCGAGGTTCGCCGGGGGCAGCGGGTACACGACCACGACTTTGCTAGCGACGCGGGGTCGGCGCCCGCTCTGGCGCGTCTTGCGCGGCTTGGTGGTCGTGGTCGTTGTCGGCGGTGGTGGCAGACTCGCTACGTGCAGCTTGCTACCGAGCGTTGCGGACCGCAGTAGCTGGCTCTCGGACCGTCGCGGTGTCGCGCCATCCCGCCACGCCGCCACGTCAACGAGGTACTTTTGTGCTTGGCCGGCGAGTAGGCTATGCAGACAGAGATGAGAGCGGCTGTCGTGACGCAGGATGCATCAGAATGACATACATCTTTTTGGCGACGACGTGCGGGAAGCGCCGCTTGAACGCATTGAAAAATGAGAGCAAAGCATCCGGGTCGCGTGGGATTGCTACGATAAACTTGGTCGCGTCGAGCCGAAACACGTTGTTGCGCGTGGCGCTAATGGCGAGAAACGAAGGGACGTCGGGCTTCATCGAGGCAAACATGCTACGGCGACCAGGAGCATGACGATCAGGATGCAAGTCGAGAAGGACGTACAGCAGCTGCGCAATCTGGCTCACGTACAGCTGACTGTCGCTCCACGAGAGGCGTTGGGTTTCGAGACGGAGCTCCGTCGGCGGCATCTCGTTGGCGCCAATGTTGAGCGACACGCAGGCCAACAGCGTGGGCTCGTCGACCATTGGCGACGATGTGGCCTCTGCGTCCTCGCCATCTTCGTCTTCGTCGGATGAAAAGCTGATGGGCTTGTCGGCCGACCCGGACGACTTGGTCGCTGCCCGCGTCGAGCTGTACGGTTTGACGGTTGGCAAGTGGTTCGGGCTGGCGAACGAAGCAACCGCCGGGCGCCGTCGCTCATACAGCACCGACGTCTTGTGCGCCTTGCTGCGCCACTCGTCCATGGGCGCAGCTGCCTTGGGCTTGTTGTCCAAGCATGGCCGCTTCTTGGGCCGAGTATCTGCCTTGAGCTGGTCCTCCATGCTCGCGTAGTGGCCGGCGGTCGCGCGCTCGAGAACGGACGACGTTGTCGTTGTCGAGAAGACGGGTCGCATCGCTGGCTTTGTCGCGTACTCTGCGAGTGATCCCGAGATCTTGCCAGAGTACTTGGGAGCCTATGCACGCCACGAAGATGAATCATGCGAGCGCGCTGCAAAATCACGAACCGTCGAGTTTGTCGACGAGCCCATGATGGCTTGGCCCGGCACGATCCTTGATGGCACTGTCTTGCTGCGCTGACGGCTTGCCGGCTCCATGGGCAATCGTGGTTTCACGACTGCTTTGGTTACCGAGTAAAAAGGGCGGTCGGGCTTCGACGGTGTCTGGTCAAAGCTGGTCGTTGGTGCTTCGTTGTCCCAGCGACGGTCGCGCTTCTTGCGCTTCGCATCCTCCGTGTCGGGCGGCGGCCTGGTCGATATCTTCTTGCGCGTCAAGGGCTCGTACGTCATTGACCTGGGGATATGGCTTGCTATCGTCGTCGTCGTCGTCGAGCGCGAAGCCAGCCCATACCGCTTCTTGGAGGCCTTCTCCGGGGTATCGAGGAGGTCCATGGTCTCCAGGAGGTCCGGTCGGAGCTTCCCGGCCGACGCGGGCTGCCACGCCGGGACGTCGCCATCGATCCGGTCGTCCATGCCCGCGGTCTCGCGCGGTCCCACTTGCAAATATTGCGAGAGCTTGGGCAATATTCCTATTATTATTCAATATTCTAGAAAAATAAAATGAATTTCAGCTCGTACCTCTTGCATTGTGTAACGTGAATACAACATCTTTATTTTATTATCCATTCCATTTTAGACCAATCAGCGCTCAAATAAAAATGGCTCGGAAGTCCACCATCCGGACCAAGCTCGAGCGAGCTGCAGCTTCATGGAGGTCTTCGATCGATCGTCACGTCGCTTCCGGCATCGAACATGCTGCTACGTCCAGAGGTGACGATGGCTTGTCCACGAAGATTGTCGGCGGCCATGGCAGGAAGGCTGTGGCAGGAGCGTGCGAAGGCGATGTGCATGCGTGCCACCTGTGCTGGGACCATGGCCACCCACCATTCGCCACCCTACATGCTCTAGTCTACGCTGCTAAAGATGAAGAGGAATGGTAGATCACAATGGAATGTATTAGCGTAGTAGATCAGTCGGTCCTGTGGTCGCTTGAGTCGTAGTCTTTGGGGAAGGTACGAGACATCAGCGGCGACCGGCACAGTATAGGAATAGCGTGCCATGAGGCGACTTGATAGACGCAGCGGAATACAGTCGATGCAGAATGCTTCAACGGCGCAGTGCACGCGCCATAATGGACGAGCCATGATGGGTGCAGCGCCGAGGGGTGCGATTTACAATAGCAGCGGCATTTGCATGTCAAACGTTACGGCTTCGGCGGGCGTGGCCGTGCCGAAGAGGAGCGTGTCGAGGATACCGTCGTCAATATCCGAGAGGTCCATCTCGTCGGCGACGGGCACAAAGTTCGAGACATCGCGCGGCGACGACGTGAGCTTGGCCTTCTTGCGAAGCGGCTCGGCTTCGACCTCGGCATCGAGCGCGTTCGTCTCGACGTACGAGTGGACAAAGTTGGTCAAGATCGAGATCTGGTTGGTCAAGGCCGAGAGCTGCGACTCGAGCGACGACATCTTCTCCTTGAGCGCCGAGACTTCGGTCTTGTCGACCTTCTCGCTCACATCGGAGCTCGTGTTGGTCTTGCGGCGGATCGACACCATCTTCTCGGGCGCATCGCGGAGGAAGAGCGGGTGCGTAAACTCCCAGACCGAGTCGGCGTCGAGGTCGCCGCTCTGGTTGTGCTTCTTGTACTTGTCAAAGCCGTAAAACTTGAGCTGGCGCGCAAAGCTCGTAAAGTTGTTGTGCTTGAAGTAGCGCGGCAGCCAAATGCTCTCGAGGTCCTTGATCTGGTTGACGACGAAGGACGTGCCATTGTTGCTCCATGCGGCCACGTCGTCCGGGCAGTTCATGATCATGTCGTACGACTTCTGGAGGAAGAGGGCGGCGCTCATGTTGTTCGGTCGGCTCATGCTGTGCTGCTGGTTCTGGTGTGGGAGGAAATTCAATAATGACGAATATGTAGGCGTGGAGCGCAAGTCCCACTGAGTCATTTACTTCCGCGCGGCCCAGTCTCGATTTTCCGGTTGCGACAGGCCTATGTCAGCCATAAGATTGCATAAATTCCAATATGTATTTTATCTGATATACCTCGTTGTTTGTATGAGAAATAAACATTTCGATAAAATAGAATAAGATTCGATTGTTCGATACTCATGTCAAGTATCAGATTTTAGAAAGATGCAGTTTGCGACCGCAGAGGACGAGTTTCGAAACCCATATTTCAGATGCGCACTACTTGTCCCACTCCATACGACCTGTCGAACGGCGGCTGGTGATTGGCTCTTGATTAAGCGAGGGACCAGGCGGTTGAATCGACTTGGTGTTTGTATGGCACCAGATGGGTGGCGCTCACTGGCGACACGGCCGATATCGATAATCGTGGATATGTGAAATTTTGTATGCGACTGGAAAAAGACTTGGTGTTTGTATACAGAGAGAGTGGGAGAAGAGCCGGATTACGCGAAAGGACTGATCGGCAATCGCTGGCTCTCGTCGGAATAAACACACGCATATGGCATGGCGTGCTTACGAGGCCGCGCCCTTTGGTGGCGAGGGCGACCACTTGGAAAGCTCTGGAGAGGCGGAGGGCGACTTAGCGACACCGCAGCGCCGCCGACTCTGGCGCATGGAGTGGCGCAAACCCTGGCGCAGACGGCGGTAGCAACTCTGGCGCACTGGAGGGTGCTCTGAGAGCGCGAAAAATCTACTTTTCAATTGTGGATCTTTTCAGTGGCAATGATTCGTTCGAGCATCGTGGGGGCTAATCCGCCTCCGTAGTGGCCGAGGTGTAGGACACATGGGCAGACGAAGGGAAATTGAATTGTGATTCGAGCCACATTCGGTATCATAATCGCTCGTCCTTCGTTGATGGGCGTGGACCCCGCGGGGCCTGCGCCATGCGCGGATCGGAACTCTCGGGAAGACCAGAGCTCAAGCTTCTGCGGCAGGGGTCCCTAGAAATCATTTCTGTGGGGCCCCACCTCCATATCTTATACCATGACTTTGTACAGTCACAAAGTGGACCCAGGGTGGGGGTCCCATGTATTTATTTGTAGCCCGTCATCTCTTTTAAATATATAATATGGCATGTATCTTGATGTTTCTATTGCAAAAGATGAAACGAATAAAACTATCACCTCGATTATATATTAAAAGAAGGAGGCGGTCGACGGAATTCGGTTGCGTTCGCGTTCCAGGTGGCAGACTATCTCGCGCGTGGCGCAGTGCAGAAGAAGATCATGCAAGCCGCAGCCGCCGCCAAGTCCAAGGCCTCAGCCGCCACGGCCAACGCGCCCATCTTCCTCCAGAAGACGTACACGATGTTCGAGAACTCGCCCGACAGCGTCGCCGCCTGGGCCAACAATGGCACGACCATCGTCATCAAGGACCCAGAGGAGTTCGCTCGATCGGTGCTGCCCAAGTACTTCAAGCACAACAACTTTGCCTCGTACGTGCGCCAGCTCAACTTTTACGGCTTCCGCAAGTACAAGAAGGATGACATTGTCATTGTCGACGACGACAAGACCAAGCACTGGTGGGAGTTCTACCACGACCAGTTCCTGCGCCACCGGCCCGATCTCATGGCGCAGATCCGCCGCAAGACGTACTCGGAGAACGACTCGACTGAGAAGGAAGACGTCGAAGTGCTCAAGAGCCAGGTGGTCTCGTTCCAGAACCAGCTCGAGCAGCTCACGGGCCAGATCACAAGCCTCACAGCCGTTGTCTCGGCCCTCATGGCGCGCAGTGGGAAGCGCCCGAGCGCACCGGGCACGCCCGCGGTTGTCGCCGCCCTCGCTGCACAGGCCAAGCGGAGAAAAATGGCCGAGACCGACAGCATCGTGCAGCTCTAAGTGTAAGTATAATTATATTGAACTACGAATGAATTTGAATTCAAACCGACGTTGCTTGTTGCGAGTCAAAATCTTGGGATCCAAGCCAGATCCAAGCTCCCATTGCTGCATAGTATCGACGTAGTCAGGGAACCAGAGCGTGGATTAGCCGATACTCAGTGCGTAGAGG